TTAAACTCGACCTTATGCGCCGCATAAAAATGCTGGAATATGCCTTACGCATGGAGCGGTTCGCGTCTCTCGTACTTGGTCCTCTGAGCTATTTCTTGACGTGTCGCTAGCTCAAAACAACTCACCCAACCACCGCCGACCTCTTCGTCGGTCCCCCCCGCAAAACTTGCCGCGATACAGGCCCTCACATCCTCCACGTCCCAAAAGGACGACGTTCAGAGCCACAAGGAGGAAAGCAGCGGCAGCTCTCCGCGGAGCGAGGGTACTTATTCCGTCCCGTCGTCCTCCGCGCTCTCTTAGTCATCTCTCTCCAGATTCGCCGCTGCCCGACGGCCGCGTCAATGGCGTAGCATCCGTCGGTCCGTCAGGAAGACCCCACTCGTGGGCTGCTGGTGCAAATTGGCCAAATGGGCCTGCCGCTGCAGCCGCGGGCTTAGGGAAACCTCCGCCGGGTCGGGACCCAAAGAGCAGAGCACGGAGTCGTGACTACCTCAAACAGTACGCCCCGTCTCCACGTGTCGGACGCCCCCAGCTCACTCAGCTTTTTCAAGATGCCTCCAGGAAATTTCATATCTCACGTCCCCGCAGGCAATGAACCCATTGCCCAACCGACCCTTGCTCAACCCCGGCCCCGGTAACATCTCGCTCACCCTTCCAAACGCGCCGTCGTTTGAGCAAATGGCCTTTAATGGCAGACCGCGGAAACTGCTGCCAGAGTCGGGCAAAGACTTTCCCATGTTGAACGGTAACATCAATAACCTAATGTCGGGCCCCTCCTCCGCCCCCGCCGCCTCCACTAATCTCGAGCGAAACAACCCCCTCGGCTCGGGAATGATGCAACTCCAGCACATGCCGCAGCAGCAGCCCCAGCAGTCCTCGTCCCCCAACCCAGCCCTGATGCAACAACAAAATGTGGTGCCGTCCCAGTCACCGCAAGCGTCGTCGAGTTCTCAAGGAGAGAGGGATGAGGAACCACGCACGCTGACCGCGATTTTCCGACCAGATGACGCAGGGGAATGGAAGGAGAAGCTGCGACAGTCACATGAGGCGGAGCAAGCGCGTCTGGCTCGAGAAAACCATGACGCGGAGCAGGAGCGTCTTAGCCGAGAACATCCGGGGTGGGATACGCAAGAGAACGAAGCCAAGGACGAAGAGGAGGTCGACGATGACGAGACGTCTGTGGTCAGCGACGTTGAGGGTTATAAAGTTTGGCGGCCCAAACGGACACTGAGAAAGTGCGGATATATTTTCTTTCCGCCGTTAAATACTCACGCGTCGGCCAGTCACTTGGATGCCGTTCGGGCACTCGCGTTCCACCCGCATGAGCTCGCCCTCGCGACAGGTGGAGACGACTGCACGGTGAAAATATGGCGGATGGATGTCGCTGGCCTCGCCTCTTCTGCGTATGTGCCTTGCTCTTCCGAATTTACCCACGCTTTAATTTCCCTAGTTCGCGACCGACCACCGAAATCGAACCGCAGCTGACTCTCCGCGGGCACTCGGCAGCTATTACGCGGCTGATACACGCGCCCTCAAAGCAGCTCTTGTACTCTGCGTCCCTCGACTCGTCGATCCGGGTCTGGGCGCTCCCCTCCATCTCCCATACGACATATGCGCCGTACGACGAGACCCGCGCGCGGGGCGAGCTCATCGGGCACACCGACGCCGTCTGGGACCTCGCACTCGTGCGGGACGAGAGCACGCTCATCAGCTGCGGCGCGGAGGGCACGGTGAAGGTGTGGGACGTGAGCGGGCCGTCGGGAGGCGGGTCGCTCAAGCTCACATGGGGGTGGGTGGGGCTGGAGAGCGCGGACGAGCAGCAGCAGGAGGACGCGGATGCGCCTGGCGCGACGGCGGTCGAGGCGCTCAAGGTCGATCTCAAAAAGGTGGCGGTCGCATACCAGAATGCGGTCGTGAAAATATTCGATATCGAGAACGGGAAGGAGCTGTCGAGGCTGCCGACGGACATCAGTTATGGTGCGCTGCCGGCCAGTATTCTCGAGGTGCAGCATTTAACTTTTTTTTTCTCAGATGGCACGCCAGCCACGCAGATAAACCGGATAGTCTCGCATCCTACCATGTCTCTCCTCGTCACCGCGCACGAGGACAAGTATATCCGGATATTCGACATTGTGACAGGTTTGTCTTCCTGCCCGACCATCTATCTATCAACACCATCTCAACTCGACGATCTCTGCAGGGCAATGCACGCATTCGATGCTCGCGCATCTCGATGGCGTCACGTCATTGTCGATCGACGCGGCGGGCTTCTCGCTCGTGTCCGGCAGCCACGACTGCTCTGTGCGGTTCTGGGACCTCCTCGGCTCGCGCGCGTGTGTGCAGGAGAGTACGACCCACCGAGAAAAGGCGCGCGAGGGCGTGCTGGACGTCGAGTTCCACCCGTCACTGCCCTTTATGACCAGCGCCGGCGCGGACGGCGTCGTAAAGCTCTACGCGTCGTCGTAGCCCGAACACATTGCCCGTCTCCGATGCTACGTTCTTCGCTGTTAGTGGTGGATTATTTTTGCTGCACCATAGCTTTGCTTAATAGAATGTTCATACTGGAATTCTCTTTCTATTCGTTCCGCTGCTTTCTTGTACATACATATGTTAACGACTGTTATGAACGAACGCAATTAATTATCGAGGCCCTGACGGTAAACGGTGCGGCGTTTATGTATGAAACAACAGTTGTGAGAGTGGAAAGCACTACAGCTACAGGAGGGCTAGTTATACAGCAGGGTGGTAAACTCAGAGCAAGATAGGTGCAAGAAGGAATAAATAATGTGCAGTGTTCAAGGGATTATATTCCTGGCACGACGATCAGTCGAAGCGGCCACGAAGAATGTGACCACTCACGAATATGCATCCCTTGGCGCGCAGCCAAAATTTCTACTCCAAGCTCTTTTACTTCCAGCAGCGCCTTTATCTGCTCAATTATAAGAGTCTGATTTGGTCGGTCGGGCGCTCCGTCGAGAGTGTCTTTGCAATGAATCACAAATACACGGACGCCGTCCAAGGCGCCCCGCAGGTCGCTTGGCGGCGACGCGACGGAGGGGTTCATGCGTTGCTTCTTCCGAACAGGCCGCACGGACGCGCTGGACGCCTGCGCGGCATTGCGGACCTTGACGACCTCGGAGGCGAGGACTTCCAGCTCGTGGACCAAGTGCTCGGGCTTAAGATGCCCGTATAGCGTATCGTCGCTTCTAGAGGACGGCCACGAGCATTCGATAAATATGGTGGACAGTGATGCGGGAATCATGGGCGCAGCGGCGCGCCATACTGACGCATTCTGTGGGGAATGGGAGAGCGTGTCTGACTCGAGGTCTCCAAAGAAGAGGAACTCGAGACCAGTGGGGTCGTCGCGAATGAAAAATGCCGTAGAGTCATAATTGCCTCCTGCGTTGTGGCCGTGGCTTACGGGGAAACTGCGGACGGAGACGTTGGGAATTAAGGGTTCGTACGCGTCGTTTATGCCAAGTCTGGCGAGGAGGTAAGCAACAGCGTGAGGATCGACGGCTTGATAACGCACAAAGTATACAGCAGCTTGTGGTCATCGTCGTCCTCGTTCCAAGAAGCCAAGTTTGGCCATATGCGGTCGGCAAACACGCTTTCTAGGTCCGCGAGGGTTTGCTTCGTACCACAGAGACGTTTCCGCGGACCGCCCAACGAGCCAGCAGATAAAACCAAGCTATTGACGTGGTCCAGGTGGGCGTGCGAGATGAGGAAACAACTGCGCCGCGGTGAGCATGGTATTTGCTGGATAAAATAATGCTCACGCGACAAGCGAGTACATCTCTGCAGCTGAATAGGGCTTAACACGCGAGGGCTGGTCGGGCGTATTGAAAAGATGCGGGTCGCGTTGGAGGAGTTTCTGCAAAGTTCCCTGGCCAGAACCTGGTTGCAGTTTGGTTCAACATTCAATTCTTCTGAAATAAGTGATCGCCCCGAAACGAACCTGCTTCCAAGGCGACTACACCATCTTCCCAAGCGGCAGCAGAAGGTTTGAATAGATAGCTGTGCGCAGTGAGTATGCCACGTGGCGGTAAAGGCGCGTCAAGGCGCGAGAACGAACATACGCGGACAAATTGGTCTCATCCGGACCGCCTCCTTCTCCAACCACGACCAAATCGAACATATGAGGCGGAAGAACGAACAGCACCGTCTATTGATCGTCGATCGTGCAAGTGGAACGATATCGCGTTGACAAATATTCGAGACTCTTGGCGGGCCTTGACTGTGTTATTCTGCTTCCACCAAGGCTTTTATAAAGTCGCTCGACCCAGTGTCAAGTGCGGGGCAGTGGCCCTTTATCAGCTGGCAGTTGAGATTGGAAACGGCAGGAGGATTGGACGTGGTTTGATTGACTGGTCGCACTGGTCGCGAACAATGCGCGCCGCTGTGCACGAAATTGAATGCATAGCTCGGATCCAAAATACAAAGAACCGTGCCTTGCGTCAAAGCTCATTGTATTCCTTTATACTCTTAGCGACATAGCTTGCAATTTAGCGGCACAATTACCTGTCCGATTAGTCCAAGAACGGAAATATAAAGAGACAACGACGCGAAATAGGTAGATGCTTAACGATATGTCAGGATCTACAGACCGATACATGGTTCGTTGGTTTTTATTGCAAAAGGTGGTGGCTAACGTGGTTCGAACGTTAAATAACACAACATCGACCCTCCGAGCTCAAGTTGGGCGTTCGGGCTCGATTTTGAAATTACCGAGAGGTCCTAGCTATTCTTCCAGGGTATTTAAATTTCCTCTCACTTCTAGGCCTGTCTACGTAGAGCTACCGAGGTCTGATTGGCAGCACTGACGCTGAGCTCATATCTCAGATACCTTGTCAGCTCGAGATTTGCCTGTCAATATAATGTCGCTAATATGGTTTGATTCACCCACCATCTACTTAAACGAACGGTTGATGCACCTCAGCCAAGATGTCGAACCTCGTTCAAGGCAAAATGGGAAGCCAGTTTAATTCTGGCAAAAAGGTAGTCACTACCGCGGTTCGAACGCGGGACCTCACGATATAACACTGATGGTATGAAACCCAATCAATTGCAATCGTATGCTCAACCACTAAGCTATAGTGACTGAAAGCAAGATCCACGGAGTGCTTATATATCGGTCGACCGCTCCCAAATCTATGGACACCCACTGGACGTCGAATATCGAGATTAGATTTTAATTTAACCAAGCAGACCTTTTAGCGGATTTTTTGGGGACTACGTCGAGTTCTCGCAAACGTCCATTGGCTAGAACAGGGAATTTGAGGCTGTGCAGGTATGAACAGTATGTTCCTTGTACCTTTTAATTAAAGCTCGAATCAAAAGGCAATTCTGACATCGTTTTATGGACGTGTCCTTTTCTGCTGCAGGGCCTGTCGTTTCTGGTACAATGTCTCGATGAGATTGCCAATGTCTATTGATACAGTGGGTATGCAAGATATGAAACAGCAAGAAATATCGACACTACTGGGCTGTAATGGGCATACTGAACGGCAACTGCAACGGCTGAGAGATTTTCTCGAGCCAGCCAGTCCAACCTCGCTCCTTGTGGCGGCGGCGCGCAACCGCATTAAGCTGGGAAGGGGTAGGATGGTGGGCACATAGGAGCAGCCAGTACTCTGACATGTTGCGAGTTTGTGTCAAAGAGATAGTATTCTCTCCAACTACCAAGAACGGATTAACATCCACCAATCCGTTTGGTGGTAACTGCCAGCTCATGAATAATGCATGCCAAGGAGACGACGAGTGAAATAGCTACGCACAGCAAACGGCGGCGACAAGGGTAATTTTGTGCGCTGGCCATTCCATAAAGCATCCATATTTAGACCACCTGCAGGAGGTAAATATATCCGGTTACTTTATATGAACAATGGAGTATCGTACCAGCCGTGGGCCACACACATTCGAATTCGGGAAGGAGGGTGTCGAGATTGTTGCTTTGCGACGATTCCACCCGCACTTTCAAGTCAGATATGTCGAAACAAAGAAGACTTAAACATAGACTGTCTCCCAGGTCACTTGATAATCTCTTCTTTCAGCGTCAGACGTGGTGACCAGCGGAATAACCAACTCGGAATGTTTCCAGCGATTTTTCCACTTCGTGATGCAGTCCATTTGGTTTTGCTTGATTGAAAACTTGATCGTGATTGAGCCGCTGTTCAACCCGCGATGGTGAACTATAACGGTGGCCGCCTCAAGCCCAGTTTCTAACGGATACCGGTCAGAGTGATTTGATATAGTTGGTTGGCATGTACTTGGCGATGGTGCGATATCCTCAAAGGAAACCTCTTGGGGGTTTGGAATTGGAAGGCCTGCCGTCGAAAACTCACCGGACTCCAACGACACGCTGGTTGACGATGGAGCTTCTGTATACTGAAAAAATAATCCGTTAGCGTGCATCCACAGTCGGTAGCTCTCAATAGCGAATTACTGAGGCGATGAGTCTGTTGACGTTGTTCACCACATCTTCGACGTTGACCTTCTTCACCATTTCTTCGATGAGCGTCCGAAGAGAGGCTGAGGTAGTTGCTGGTAGCCCATGACGCTCGGTTTCTTGGGAGGAGTCAATGTCCATGTCCACGGATTCTTCCCGAGGAGTGCCATGAACACTAGCTACTGCTTCTGCTATGGGTGTAGGCCGTGGCGGACGTTCCTCGGACTCGGATACAGAACCGTGGTCAACGTTGTGCGAGACCAGAGGCATCGGCACGTCAGACGTTAGAGCACCAGGATCCACAGCCCCCGCGATGCCAACTTCTGAAGACGGCAAACCCGTCAGTGTATGAAGCACGCGGTTGACCTTGTCATTCATCGCAGGGGACAGCGCTTGAGAGGCAGCGCCTAGTACTGAAGTTGCGGTCTAGATTTATCTGTCTTGAAAGGATTACTGCAATCTTTATATTATAACATACGGTTATTTCAACATCTTCGGCTTGTTTTTCGTCGACCTCTATCACAGCATCACTAGACAGCATCTTTAGGGCAGGAGCCGGCTCTTTGGTCTCGGATTCGTCCCTTATCGGCGTATTCCGTGCGGTAAGAGGACGGGATAAGGGCTGACTCTTTGGGAGTGATACCGAGACGGATGGGCCATCAGTCGCTTGAGCAGGGTCCTTGGACGTCAAGTCGTCTCTCATTGGGGTACCTTGTGCGCGAGATGATGGCCGACTCTTGGGAAGCGATGATACCGGAGGGCCAGCAACCGCTGGGGTTGAGATAGGCTGAATGACCTGGACAGGAGAAGAGACCCCAGGGGCCGAAGAGGAAGTAACAGACTTTCCCTCCGGTGGCTTCTGGATCATTGATTTTTTCTCGTGGTATTTCTGAAGGTCGGCCTGCAATAGATCGGACATATCCTTGCCTTTCTTTTTCGCCTTGCGTTTAGGTTTGGAGGTCGGTGCTACCGGAGGTGCGGAGGCAGAACCAGAATCAGGTCCAGCAGACGGAGTCGGAGTCGCATTGGCGGTCACCGGAGACTGGGTGTTCAGAACCTGAATGAGATGGTCAGCTCAAATTGTGAGTGGATACATGTCGCCATTACCGATGGGCTGATGGATTTGCTAGGATTTTGCTTGGTGAACGTCGAAGGTGAAATCCCTGGAGCGACAAATACCAATGGACTGGAAGGACCACTGGAAGGCGCTGTCGTGTTTGCCGGATCCTGCTTGGTGGATGTTGAAGGAGGAACTCCTGGAGTAACAGATACCAATGGAGTGGAAACATCACCAGAATGTGCTTTCATGTTTGCCGGAGGACCTGGAATGGTGTTGTATGTCGGCGCTGTCGGCGTTATTGCATTGGCCAAAGACGAAGAACTAGGGCGCATCTGTTGACTAGGCTGGATAAGAGTCGACGGAAACGAAGTCGGATCCTTAGGAACCCTAAAGAGCTATGCTTCAGACCTCGGAGCGGGTTTCGAAGAATTTATTTACGCAAGGGGCGGGGCGGGAGCTTCAGAACTGGCAGGAAGAGGTGCCTGTAATTTTGCAACGGTTTCTAAGAGATGGCCAACCGAGGCTAATACTGTTTAAGATTGAGCACTCCAATTTGACGCGATTTTCATTGACCTTGAAGCTCTGGCTCGAGGAAAAGACTCTGGAAAGGCGCTACGGCACTGACGAGGTCAATGAACGCCTGAGCCATCTTGGGATACTGATCTCCCAGAGTCTCAGGCCCTTGTGCGCGGAGCGTTGATTCTGCAGTCTGGCAACAGTATTATCCTCCGTGGGTGAGTTTCGCCTGAAGAAAGTACCAAGAGGATATCTACGATCTGGGAATTCCAATGAGAAAAGGTGCAGGAAGAGCCGCCAAACGATTCTGACCCGAGGGCGCGCCTCCAGATAGTACGCTTTATCAATTGAGAGCCATCTACCGAACTTCTTGGAGGTCCCAATGTAACTGGTGACCACGGAAAGCTTTTCTTTGAAGTTTTGAAACGTCCTGTGACTCTTCAATCAACAGCAACAGCGAACACGGAGCTCCCACTTCTCGTTCTTCGCTGTAATGTTGTCCTTTTCGGCCATTATCGGCAATGTCTAAGTCGGAGGCATAGAGTGTAGGGCGATGGTCTTTGGCAAGTTATACTTCGGACGCGACGCAAAATTGCACAGCCACAAATAGCCTTTTGAAAGTAAATAATCAACGAATAGGCGCCCCGCAAGGTTCCGTTCTCTCCTTAACAACTCGAATTTCGTAGTGGCGTACATGTCGTTATCATAAGTAAGGAGTGTGTTAAATACCGATATTGTACATTAAATAATTACTGAGGGAACGTCGGGATCGGAATCCTACTAGTAGACAGCCTTCTGGAGGCAGGTGATACATCAGATAGTCTCCTTGAGGCGGCAGACACATCTGTATTTTCTTTGTTCTGTTGTTGTTTAGTGGCGGGGGATGGCGGGTGGGCGGTTGTCGGTGACTTGACGACCTTGGTTGGCGCCTTGCCGGACACGACCGTCGCCGACGTAGACCTGTTGAGCGGTCTTGAGGCGATCGAAGGCGTGCCCACGACGGAGGACCGTGTTCTGAGCGGCGGCGGTCCCATCGACCCACGCTTCGAAGGCGTCGGCGCGACACTCGTGGAGGAATTGAGGCGTGTGCTCTTGTTCAAAGCAGCTATTTTGGTGCCAGTGGTGCTTTCCGCCGAAGCTTTGCGCTCTCTGTTCAGGTCGACACCGAATTCGGACGTAAAGGAAGACGGCCGCGACATTTTAGGCGCAACCGAAACCGAAGATCCGCGGCGTTGGTGCGTGGGTTTGCTGGACTGCGGCGGTGTATTCCCCGCAGTACCCCGGACTCCCAAACGTCGCTTGAGCTGCGCGAGAATATTATTAAGCTTGACAAAAAGATCATATACGAAAAACCCACCAGCTCTAGTTCTTGCTGCTTTGAATCCAGTGCGGTATTCAACCCTTCCAGGTCCTGCTTGTCTTGCGCGCGCTCCTTGGTAATTTGGGCAAGTTGAACCTCCTTGTCTGCGCTCTCCTGCTGCAATTCACGCGTCTGGCCCTTCAGACGCTCGATTTCAGCATTGGCTTCGAACAACGTCGTTGTCCGGACGTCGATCTCCAATTGCTTCTTCGTCGCATCCTGGTGCGCAGCCTCGAGTGCGGCGGAATGCTCTCGTGCCATCCTGCCCACTTGTTCCCGAAGCTCTTCGATCTCAGCTGCACGCTTGAGGTTACGCTGAGCAGTTTCTACTGCTTCGAGATCTCGGCGCCGAACAATGTCTTCGAGCTGCACCTTGAGCTAAGGATGAAATAAACCAACCATCCGGTTATGCGAAAATGAAAAGAACACACCTCATCTCGCTCCTTCTCCAGCGAGTTTTTGACGTCCCAGAGCCCTTGTAAATCATCCTCAAGCTCCAAAGCCTTTTGTTCGGCGGCCTCAGCCCGGACGCGCCTCTCTTGTAGCTTGACCAATTGAAGTTTGAGCGAGTCCCGCTCCATCGCAAGCGCACACTTCCCTGCCTCCGTCGTCGCAGCGGATCTGGCCAATCCTTCCGCACGTTCGCAAGCCATGGCGAGCTCCGCTTTTAGGTCAGCAATCTCGTCGTCCCGAGCGCTCAGCCGCTGCTTGGAGACA